GGGACTGCTGGAGCGAGTGCCGATTCTATCAAAAAACTGTTCAAGACGCTAAGAAAGTTACTCTACTAAATTAAGAGACTGTTACAATAGCTTGGTTCAGAATTTGATAGAAAGAAAAGGAGTGCCTTTAGCATCAGGTGTTTGGACTTTGATTGTAGACTGAGGACTGAACTTCTCACTAAATTAGAGATTCTGATCTCATCAGTAATCTTAGTTTAAAACCTGATCAAGGTACTGGCTGGAAGGAATTCGGATCTTAACAGATCGATAGACGTTTTAAGACTAACGAAAACACTCGATTTATTAAGTAGAAAATTTGCCTTATAAAGGGATTTGAGCCTAGAAAGATTTGTCTCCTGCTAAGATCTTCCTAACGTAATGTTGATTAGAACGAAAGAGACAGAAAGTATTCCTAATCTAAACTTATCCATCGCTCTCCTTCAAGATCATGTGAGGCATTTCGGGACCAACGCAATCCTTCCAGAATAATCTCGTATGTATGCATACGTCTAGGATGCACTTGACTCCTACGCAGCGCTTATACCTAAGCTAAACTGGTGCAAGCGTATAGTTTCCCTATGCTGAGTTTTATCAACAATCAATACGAAACTAACGATTTTAAATTGGCTCACCACTTTAGTAGCCTATTGGTCCCAAGCAAACGATTAACGTACCCTATTCTAGTTGACATTCTATTACTACACTATGTTTGTTTTGATTCGCTATGAAAGTTTGACAGATAACATCAGGGGTGTGTGGATTCATGCAGAACATGCAGGGGTGAGTGAAATAGCTTGGGACTGCTTGGGACCGTTGTTCTGGTACTGAGTGAGCCAAAAATAATAATGATTTTCTTCGGGACCCAGTGGTCTTAGAGTTACCTCTATGGTTTTATTGCTTTGTTTTATGCTGCGTGCACCCGTTGGGTAAATCCTATGGTGCAAACGAGAGCGTACCGCTTATGCGTTCTCTTATTACATAGCATTGACCTAGAACTTTGTGTCATTTTCGATGCTCTCGTATTCATTGAACCTGGCTAAGCAGAAGGGATGATAAACAGAACAGCTGTTTATATTTGACTTTGAACTTTTACTTCTTTGCATCGTCTTGGGTGATTCGAGAACGTTCTTCAATTATTGCATTCACAACACAACAATTATTGCATTCACAACAGGTACTATCTTCGGTCCCAAGGTAATCGATGCACCCCTCGAAACATAGGAAAATCCACGAACCCCTCATGGTATCTGTCAAACTTTCATAGCGAATCAAAACAAACATAGTGTAGTACTAGAATTTCGACTAGACTGGGGTACGTTCAATTATTTTCCGTACACATCAAAATTGTTCGCTGATTGCCTAATTGAGAAATTCGAAAAATTAATGCTTGTCCCCCTAGGATTTTTTCATAGCTACGTCAATGAATAAAACCTTAGATTTGTCGAATTTGTGGTAGGTATTAACTATGCCTTCATATAAAAATCATCGACATAGTTGAACCACAGACAAACAGACGTAACTCTTTGAAAAACTTGTTCTTGAAAACATAGTATCTCAAAACATATAACCCCAGTAACGACATCTCTGTGGCTTCTCGCGGAAAACAAGCTTGCTCGCTAACTCGTAAACAATATTGCATAAAAGTTCTATAGAATATATAGAAACGTCAAAGTGATCCGATGCCAGCGCTGCGGCGAGTAGTTCGCGGAACTGATAATATTCAAATCAACCGTTAAATGCATGAACGAAGATACACAATAAAGAGTTACGTCTGTTTGTCTGTGGTTGAACAGAGTTGTTATTCTCACGGTAGATCTTATGTTCATTTCCCAAGGAAATAATTTTTATAAATCAATAATTCTTGATCACCACACACCTCGCCACACACATAGCAAAAAATAGATGCAATATGTATTACGTCCATGTAGATTTTGTTATTGTTATTGCTCAGCTCACACCCTGGCCGACTATCGCCCGCCCATCTGCACTTAAGCTAGGTATGAACCTATGGAAATTTTAGTCGTGGCCTATGCTAGACCGTATAGCATAACGACTTTCTTCCACCAGCAGGCCTGTTGCTCCCGTAGGCAGTCCCACTAGCTTCAGATTTGTAGGGGATAGTAAGAGAATAAAAGAATAGAGAAGAGCGATAGAGTATTTCTAGATAGAGCTGGAATTAGGGCGTAACAGCCTTTGTAAACAATGACTTCTCTAGTTGATTTCTCGGAATTCAAGGCACGCCTACACAAACCAACACATCCATCGGGTAGCAGAAGTCTTCCTCTTCTCGATGGTGATATCGATTGGCCAGGAAGAGCCATGACTTCCGAGAAATCATCGAGAGAAGTCATTGTTTACAAAAGCTGTTACGCCCTAATTCCAGCTCTATCTAGATTTGTTGTTTTTCTAAAAAGAGAAGAACAAAAACAGCATGCCGACTTGTTGTGCTGCATGAGCTATGTCCGCTTTCATTCCCGCTCCTGCGGGTTACGTCCCTCTTCACGTGCTCACTCACTCAAGTATCCTGGGAACCTCCAGAGGTGCAGAGAGCCAACATGAGAAACCTCAATTCTGAGCGGTTGCTTGACCTGGGTCCAGGTCAAATTCCTATTGGCTTGCTTGATTTCCTTGTTGGGGTTTTGCCACCGACAAACCGACATGAATGACCATAGCAAAAACCATAAAATTTCTGTCCAAAGCACACTATTGACATCTGGCTCCGTGTTCGCGGGATATATTTAGCTAAGCCATGAGCCAGCATGCAAAACTTATGAATTGGTTCGTGTCTGATCTTATCTAGACAAATAATTTTTATCTAGATCAAACAATCCTATGGTTTTGACAGTTCGGATCACTGCACATTTAAATCGGCCGTTTACGATTTATGGGCAAAAGCCAGAATTAAGTGTCATGTCGGTTTGTAGGTGGTTTTGCTGCCATAAGCCCCTGTGCCTTTGCTGTGACGTACTGATGAATTTGATTCACATGCTTCACACGCTTGCCTGCAGTGATATTGTCGGTTGTATATTATTTTTTATTTTTATATTGTTTTTCGGCTGCCAGTACGCTGCCAGCAACAATTTCCATTGGGGATCATTTCAGGCATAACATTTGATAACGGCACAAAAGCATTTGTAAACAAACTTTCTAAGGCCCTTTACACGCGAACCAAAGTACGCCCACGCAAACCAATACCACTGTTTACGAAAAGGTGAGAGTTGCCCCTATCTGATGATAATGTTGGTTTGCGTGAGCGTTCTTCGGTTCGCGTGTTAAGGGCCCTAGAAAGTTTGTTTACAAATGCTTTTGTGCCGTTATAAAATGTTATGCCTGATTTGATACGTTAATACTTAATGCCTTAATTTGATACGACAAAAAGAAAGTTAAGGTTAAATAATATTAGTCAACATGTTTATTAACCCATTTATTGTATTTATTTATTAATACTTACATTTCGATAAAGATAATGCTATCTATTTTACTTTTCATGTGATACTTATCATCACAGAATCCAACTTTGAATCGTAGACCAGGTCCACCCTGCCAACACACGGCGCCTGCACGGTAATGTGGGCCGTCAGAATGGTTCATCGGTTGCGAAGTGAAATACTTCTCAAACTGAAGCGATACATTTCTCAATTTTTCAACGTTATCCTAGCGTATAAACTGCCCCGTCCACGCCCGAAATCCATTCACTACACAAAATCAAATAAAAATGTTTCTGTATGGGTATAAATCTTCACTGTAACAACTACGGGTGAAAAGTATAATTTGGCTGTGATACTTGTTTCGGAGAAAGCATCCATTTCGGTTCGCGTAACACATTTCAAGTAGTCTGATACCCCGTTCACATTACAGCGTATATCACGTGATATACGCTGCCTTGCAATGAGCACTCATACATCTAGTTTTCACTGGAAATCTTATGTATGAGTACTCATTGCAAGACTGCCTATATTACGTGATATAGGCTGTAATGTGAACGGGGTATGAGAGAGGTACCTTGCCTGGTTTACAAAACATCATGAACCAATACACTCGCTATCGTACAAGGAAGTACATAGACGAGTGTAGCCGAAAAGGAAGGGAAAACAATTGAAGTTGAGTTTTCATTCAACGCTATGCGGCGGAAAGAAAACATGTGGTGACAATTAAATCAAACGTTTACAATCTAATGCAACATGTGCGCAAGTCGCTTGTTGCTATTTTACATCTCTGTTTTGTCAATTGGCTTAATACCCCGTTCACATTACAGCAAGCATTACAGTCTATATCACGTAATATAGGCTGTCTTGCATTGATCACTCATACATAGGATTTCCAGTGAAAACTAGATGTATGAGTGCTCATTGCAAGACAGCGTATGTCACGTGATATACACTGTAATGTGAACGGGGTATAAGTGTGTCAACTTGGTGGGCTACAACAAAAGTCTTTGTTGTCTTTGAGAAATTCGACACTGTTGCATGTTATGGAAATTTGGGTGCTGTAAATCTAACAGCTCTGAAACTTAAAGAATTTGAGATGCATTAAAATATTATGCTACACGGGTTATCATCGAAAGTACTTGCATTTTACTCAGGCACTTTTGAGCAAACTGCAGTCACTCTCTCATACTCGAAATGTGCCACGACCAAATTTGCGCAACGACGCCCTATACGCTATCTGACCAAAGCGCAGGGAATATTACGTCCATGTAGATTTGTACGCAAATACAGCGTACATCATACAATGTAACATTACACAACCGATTAAATAACTTATGTGCAGCAGTTTAGATGTAATATTCAACAACTTTTATGCCGTACCAACAAAATGTTTGTAACAAACTCGCCGTTGATGCATACGTCCCCCAAAGACCTGAGTAAAACAGACCAAAGCATCTATGCAGCTCACCGCGAGATGGCACCAACCGATCTTCGAATTTTCTCTTGAAAGCCGATTCTCCCTGATAAATTTTACCTGTCACCGATGGGTCGGGTATTATGTAACCTAACCTCAAACTGCCTGGAATTCTTGACACTTTGCCTTCAACTCGCTGAAAACGAACAATCCCTTCTGTTAGTTCTTTAACAACAGTCAATAAATTCTTAACTAAAGTAAGCGAAACATAGTTAATAGACTTCGGAGTTCATCGCAAATCAATTCAGCTTTATTTTTTACAGAATGGCCGGAGAAAACGTTGACGAAACCAAGCTTAAGGGATTGTCCCGAATTTTCAACGGCGAGACCATTAGAGGACGGGCCAATGTAAGCGAATCGACATGGGAGTTGTAGTGCGATGGAATATTAAAATTATATTACATTTTTTTTTTAGGTTGCAAAGGCTACCTACGCCGGCATCGGGCTGCTCATCCTGTACTTCTCGTTGAAGCCGTCGAAAAAGTGAAGGATGTAGCCGATTTGTTAGGATAAGGCCAAAACCGCAATACAAATTACATCCCGTCTCTTTAGTGTTACGGTCGAAACAGTGAAAAAATACATATTATGCAACAGTGCTGAAAATCGGAATGGGTGCTTTTTACTTCATTCTATCGTAGCGAAGTTGTTTGTCTCAGTGAAACAAGTTGGACAAATTTCAGTGAATCTACCTATATCGGAACAAACAATGATGACATGATTTGTTATCGATTTTTTCTAAGACCCTTTCGCTTCTAATCATTTTTGTTTTTACACGATTTTTTTTTTTCGTCCGTATTTTTCATCAGATGATCTTTAAATGCATTAAAATTTAGTGCAAGTTAGAAAAAATCGCAAAGTAATAATCAAAACAGAAAATCGATTGAAAACTGAATTGAGTGTACTAGGGGAAATGGCTCTAGTGTTGGTCTATGGATCCAAGATTGGGCCCATCGCTAAAAATCTGCTATTTATCAATTTTATCTAGATGAACGCCTCATTGGGACGGTTCTAATGTATATTTTTGGTCGCTATTGAAAATTGAGTCGGTTGCTGAATTTATGTATGGGCCCAAATTAGTGGCATTTAGGTGGACAATACATTAATTTGCATCGATAAATTTGGGAAAGATTTACAAACAATGAAATTTAAGATAGGGCCAATTAGAGGACCACTGGGCCAAAAATTGGCACACTAACCCTACTAATCTAACTGAAAAATGATGTCGAGTTGATCGAAAGCAAATTTTCCTACCTTTATGCCGCGGACACACTTGCATGACAAACTATGAGCATGAGCATTGTTTGTATAATAAATTGTAAGCACATCCATGGTCACACTTGTATAGTTGGTGTATAGCGCTCATAATTATTATACAAATAATGCCCATGCTCATAATAGGTCATACAAGTGTATCCGTGGCATTAATTTGGCGTTAAAATAATTTATGTAGCTTCCCGGAGATATTTGTATTTTAGTAAACACTCTTTTTAAGCGAAATATTCCGCACACGATTTCACATGGGAAATGACCACCAGCGTACAAAGTTCAAATATGCTGTAAACTAGTGCTATCGATCGTATAATTGAATGCAATAGGTTTTTAACTATCGATCAGCTGCTGCAACCGCAAGCAATCAGTGAAACATCGCACAACCACGTACATGTTGACATCGTCTGCATAGAATGACCAGCACCCAATTGGAAGTAGCAAATCGATTTCGTTTATGAATATCGAGAATAACAGCGGTTCCAAATTTCTGCCTTGAGGGACGCCTGAGTTGTTTGAAAAATATTCCGATTGATCAGAGCCGATGTTCACACAAAGCTCTCGATTGGTAAGATACAATTCAAACCAACGAGTGAGTTCTTGAGAGACACCGAGCTTCTCGAGACATCCGGTTGAAAGCAGCCTTGAGATCCGTATATACGACGTCCACCTGTGCTCCTGCCTTCCATATTCCGTTGGCATAGTTTTATTTTCTAGAGCTGGCTGTCGTTGATGATAATCTCGAATACTTTCGAGCAGACACAAAGAGAAGTAATTACTCGGTATTTCTCCACATTTCGCTGGTCTCCTTTTTTGAAAATTTGGAAACATGAACGAAGATTTCCAACGGGAAGGAAAAACAACTAGTTGTAATGAAATTGAACTGCTTTGAAAGTGGAGAGGAATGCTCTGTTGAGCATCTTTTGAGTATGGACGATGGAATGCCGTTAGGCCCAACAGCGTTCGAGAATTTCAGCTTCTGGATGGAAGAGTCGACGAGGTCCAATGTGACCGTGAAAATATCAAAGCTGAACCGTTCAGCAACTTAACGATACCGTTGAGCCGTTTTTCTAAAGACGTGTTGGATCTTTTATCGCTTAGATGAATCTCGACCGGTACCCCATCCTCTTTCCTTTTTGTCTTCACAAACGTCCAGAATAGCTTAGGATTACGCCGCAGATTGATCTGCATACGTCTTTAGTACTTCTTGTATAGAAAACGGTTGTACATTCGATAGCCATTACTTGCTAACGAAAATAATCGCTTGGTGAATAGATTGCGGAACTGGCTGTATTTGCGAAGAGCCTTCGATCTCACACACTTCAAGTGTCGTAATCGAGCATCAGACCATAATGGTTTTTCAGCTTGGAATTTGTTCAGATTCCTTGTGAAATTCCAAGTTAAAAACAGTCGCTGACATTTTCTGCAGCTCAATATGCTGCCGTTATACGCATAAGAGTCCCACGGTACATAAGGATTGCATAGAACATGGGAGTTATGCGTATAATGGCAGTATGGCACGGAGATATCGACGTTTTAAAATAGCATGTTTTTAAAAGTTTTCAAACAGAGTAGGTACTGATTGTAACTTTTGATTTCAATCGTCAATTTCTCACTAATAACAATTGAATCATACACATTAATATTACCAATAGATGGGGGATTATCTCATCTGTCCGATCTAGGGGCGTCGCATTTTTGGAATACAGATTCAATATGCATTTAATTTAAAAAAATGCATTTAATTTCCATCGTTTGCATCAACTATGGGATGTGAATATCAAAACAAAGCATGCGCTTTTTTGGTAACACCTCTACATGCATCGATGCGAAGATAAACAAACACATCAGGAAAAGAAAACTCGTCGCTCTGCACGAGGGGGACGACTCTATCTACGATGCAAAAAAGATTGTGTTTTGCTGTGGCTAGCTGCGCACACGCTGAGTAGATAGAAAGAAGAATGATGACGATTCTAAAGATTTCCTGCAAAAAATTGATGAGCGATGCAAGTAGATGCGACAAATGGAAAAAGATTGTTCGAAGATTGATTCGCTAGTGTGAGATTTGTTGACCATCTAAACTTGAGATTTAGATGTGTCGCCCCCCTCGGCTCTGCACGATTTCGGTGGAGTAGAGAATTCACGAAAAATTCCCTGCATCCTTCTCCGGCAGCAACAAAAATCTCCAACGAAATCCTGCAGGAGCTCCCTCAAGAACTTCCACTGCCAACATCGAAATCACGCAAAACCTGCTCCGCCGAGAACGAGGAACAACTCCGTCGAAATTCTGTAGAACCTCCGTAGTCATCATCGGAAATCTCCACCGGAAATATGCGGAAGCTCCTCCACCGAAAACACGAGATAATACCAACAATCAATACCAAACTAACGATTTTAAATTGGCTCACCACTTGACTAGCCTATTGGTCCCAAGCAAACGATTAACGTATCCCATTCTAGTTGAAATTCTAGTACTACGCAATGTTTGTTTTGATTCGCTTTGAAAGTTTGACAGGTAAAATGAGGGGTTATTGGTTTTCCCTATGTTTCGAGGGGTGAATCGATTAGCTTGGGACCGAAGAGAGTACCAGAGCTGAGCCAAAAAGTTTAGCACATTATTTCGGGACCTTCTAGTCTTAGATTTACCATCGCTTTTCATTCCAAGATTGGAGCTGCAGGGATGCGTTCTCGGTACGCGTCCTCTAAAATTCGTACAGGAAAATCATCCAATCGTATTTACGAAAAGGTTCCTCTGGACAGACTCTACTACAGCGCGTTCATGGATCCGGTCTGACCCGCGACGCTACAAGCCCTTCGTAGCTCATCGAGTCGGGGAGATACTAGAGAGTACGGACAAAAGCGAATGGAGATGGGTTCCGTCCAAGCTTAATCCAGCAGATGAGGCAACCAAGTGGGGTCGAGGACCTTACTTCAAACAAGATAGCCAGTGGTTCAACGGACCAGAATTCCTGCGACTTCCTGAAGATGCATGGCCCAGGGCGGTCGAACCAACACTACTTCCGAAGATATCCGGCCATCAGTGTTATTCCACTTCACAGTTGAACCGGTACTCGAGTTTGAGCGATTTCCGGTGTGGAAAAGGATGCTGCACACCACTGCATACGTCAAACGTTCCATCCACAACATGGTCAAACCAGAACAGAAGCTGCGTGGGCCTCTTACCCAAGCCGAGCTTCTCAGCGCAGAGTGTGTGATCTGGAAACTCGTACAGCAGGAAAGTTTTCCGGATGAAAAAACTATCCTCGAACGAAATAGGTCAGAACCTAACAAGAACCAGATGCCCATCGATCGGAAAAGCAAGCTGTTTACGATAATTCCGGTGCTTGATGACACTGGTTTGCTGCGACAACGAAGTCGTATAGTAGCTGCTATGGATGTGACTAACGATACCCGGTTCCCGATAATCCTGCCTTCGAAGCATCGGGCAGTGAACCTCCTGATTGCAGATTTCCATCGTCGTTACCGACATGCGAACAACGAAACCATCGTTAACGAACTTCGTCGGCGCTACACCATCCCAAACTTACGTCAGCTCGTGAAGAAGGTAGCGTATACCTGCCAGCTATGCAAGATCCGCAAGGCCCTTCCTCGTATTCCACCGATGGCTGCACTTCCTCCAGCCCGCCTAGCGTTGAATATTCGTCCGTTTAGCTACGTAGGTGTGGATTACTTTGGCCCGCTTCTAACGAAGGTGGGAAGGTCGAATGTGAAGAGGTGGGTCGCCCTCTTTACCTGCCTCACAGTACGAGCCGTACACCTCGAGGTTGTCTACAGTTTGTCAACGGCCTCCTGCATCTCCTGTGTCCGACGGTTCATCGGTCGTCGAGGGTCTCCGATCGAAATCTTCAGCGACAACGGAACGAACTTCCAAGGAGCGGGACGCATACTACGAGAGCAGATCGACAAGAAGCTGTCCGAGACGTTCACCAGCACGATGACGAAGTGGAGTTTCATTCCTCCTGGGGCTCCACATATGGGGGGTGCTTGGGAAAGGTTGGTACAGTCTGTTAAGTCGTCTATGAGGGATGCGTACTCAGAGGGAAAGTTAAGCGATGAGGAGTTGCTAACGCTGGTTGTAGAGGCAGAAAGCATTGTGAACTCGAGGCCTCTGACATACCTACCGTTGGACTCTGAAGAGTCCGAAGCCTTGACACCAAATCACTTCCTGCTGGGAACCTCTAGTGGAGCGAAGCAGGCTGGTGTCGACGTTGGTGAGTCCCAAAGGAACCTTCGTGAAACCTGGGGAGGAATTCAACAACAGCTGGACAAGTTTTGGCAACGTTTCCTGGTGGAGTATCTACCTGTCATCAGAAGGC